AGGGGAGCAATGCTGCAATGGAGCCCCAGAAGCCCCGATACCTTTGGAAGGATTGCGAGGCTCATTCAGGGCTCCAGCACTCGCTGTCATCCCAGCCGTGCTCAGCCATCAATTCTATGGACAAGGGTTTTGCAGGAAGGGGAATTCTGAATTGATTTTTGTGACCAGCTGTTGAGCTGCTGCTCTGAACACACCGCCAATCCCCCTCACCATTTTATCTTCCTTTATCACCATCTTTTTAATAGAGACATGACATTCTGCCTACTGCTGGGCTCTCTCTATTTATCTCTCTCTTAACAACACTTTGGCATCGCCGGCTCCGCTATCTAAATCAGCACTAGTGCACGTCCGGTCACATAAAACTGGAGAGGGTTTCCCAAGATGCCTCGGGAAGTCTGCCTGCTCCCGTTCGCTGATGTGTTAATACGCCCGATGCACTAATTAACGAACAAACAGCTCGGGCTGGGAGCTGGGGGAGGGACCAACGCGAAGACGGCACAGAGCCCAAGGAAAGACACTTGACCCTAATTGTTAGCAACAAGATGACAGGGCTGAGCGGGAAGTGTGGCTGAAACTGGGATCCAATCTGAAAGGAAATGTCTGGTGAAGAGGGGAAAACCAACGATGCCGTTGGAGGCCCTGCGCTCCCGGTGGGCGCCCAGCTGGCAACGCGCTCCCAACACACCTCTCACTCCATGCCCACACCCTCATCCTCTTCCCACGCCCCCAGCCAAAGAGGGGAACACCCTGTGACCTCCATCCAAACCACCTGCAGGAGGGGGGCAAGGAAGGCTCAGGATGTCCAAAGCCCCAGCACTGAAGCTGTACTCAGAGCAGAAGCTCCTCGTGCCGAACACCCTGGGCTGCACACCTGGGCTGGGAATGCACTGCTGCACCAGTGGGAAGGAGCTGTGCAGCAACAGACGCACTGACAGCCTTGAAAACACTTTCCATGCATTGCAAAAAAAATTGGGGAAATGTCCTAAACACTTTCTGTCTGAAAAAAAAAAAAAAAAAATCAGCTAAACCAAGGCTCACAGCAGTGCAATAGAGCCCTCAGCACTGCACTCCGGGTTGCTTCAATTGCAGCCAGGAAGAGGGGAGAAAGCTGGCACACAGCTGGCACACTGAGCTGGGAGACACTGCTCAACAGCAGCAGAGAGCGTCCTCAAGAGCACACAGCCAGGCACCAGCCCTGAGCTGACTGAAGGAAACAGGCACTGCGGTGCTAACAGAGCAAATAACGCAACCAAATAACACATGCTGGCACCCAGAGCGCTTGTGAGACCATTGCAACCCCACTGCAAACTGGGAGGGACAAAGCCCACAGTTAGTTTTACCCCCCAGAAGCTCCACAACCTGTCAGACACAAGCAAATATTGGATGATACGAACTCCATTCCAGTGTATCTGTCAAGATATTTACAGGGCTCAACTGTACTTCTGTTTTTAATTAAATCTTCACACACATACTTTAATGTAATTTAAATAGATTATTAGTTGTCAGAATATAGTATAAATTTTGTTTACAATTTAGAGTACTGACGTTGAGGAAACTCATTTAACCCCCTGACTGAGCGTCATTACGTGTTGAGATGAGACTCCCAAAGAGCTTCCACTGCCCTTTGCACTCTCGCAATAATCTTAAATTACTACAACTTAATTGCAATTTCAAGGCACTAAAATGGGGATGCTCTAAGAACAGTACAGGGAGGGTCAGTGAGAGGAGAAAAATGATTCAGTCCTCCTCAGGTACCCGAGAGGGGAAAAAAATGCATTCTGCTCTTCTGTCTTCTCATTTGCCATAGAACAACATCTTCATTTTCAGGATGGTGCTGAACAAAAAGTTATCGGGGCTACATGGGATCATTACCACTCACGCACGGCCACTGCACATATGGATGGAAGAGACAGGTGCCAGGTGATGAGAAATAGAGAACCCCCGAGCGCTTTTGCTGCAGCAGAGCCAGCACTGCCCTGACTCCGAGTAGGTCGCACGCTGAAGTCAGAAACGAGCACAAGTTGAAGCACCCTGATCAGCAGATGCCCAAGCTCCTAAAGACAGAACAGCTTACAGTTCCCTTTCAACCCCAGACACGGCTTTTCTTTATATTAGAGGATTACAGAGCTCCCCCAGTTTGGCTCCCCTAACAACCCCAGCTCCCTCTCTCCCATGCACACCGTGGCAGCACCTGACACCGGCTGCAGCGGGACCACAGGGCTGAGCTGGGTGAGCTGAGAGCAGTGCCGACGGGCACGAGGGCCGCAAGCAGGATCCTCACCACCTGGTGAGGACGTGGCAAAGAGGAACGCGGTATGGATCGTGACTCAGAGCACAGCCAAGCACCTACGTATGTCTCCAAAGGCAAGAAAGTCAAGAACGGTGAGCCCCTCTGTGCCCTTGTGAGCATTTGGTAAAGTTCTGCTGCCAGGACCTTTGCGAACAGCCGCAGACAAGCTGCTGAGCTCCAGCACGCAGCGTTTCTCAACCGCCTTTGGCACATGCTGCCTGGCTCCCAGTGCCCTCACCGCAGCACTCATGGGTGTGAGGACATATCGGGGCCAGGGGGACTTGTGGCAAGCTGAGCTGGGATACAGCCCCCGACAGCAGGTCTTGGGGCTGCAGAACCCAATGTGCCCCCAGGCTCTGCAGCTACCCACCAACGAACCCCTGCTACAGCGTAACCCAACTCAGGCACAACTCTGCACCCAGAGCTGTGCCAGGCAGCTGCAGTCCCAATCCTGCCCCCACCTGGGGACTCCCGCTGTGACACCGCTGTGACACTGCCCGCGGGGCAGAAGGCCTGAGCACAGCAGCGAGGAGCCCAGCTACAAGGGATCCCCGCCACGAGGAATCCTGACCACAAGGAGCCCCGTTCTGCTGCCTCTCCCCCAGCCCTGCCTCAGCCGCAGGAAACGTCTCCGTTCGGTGCCTTGAAGTTGCAATTAAATTGTTGTAATTTAAGATTATCACAAGAGCAAAGGGCAGCGGCAGCTCTCCGGCAGACTCCTCTCACCACTTAATGCTGCTCAGTCTGAGGGTTAAATGAGCTTCTTTAGTATAAGTACCTTAAAGCAAGTGAATCGTAAACAAAATTTATACTATTTCCTGACAGCATATAATCTATTTAAATTTATTAAAGCTTCTCTGAGAAAATTTAAGATGACAGAAGTATCATTATGTCCTATAAATAACCGGATGGCCTTGCAGAAATAACTGTATTTTACATGCATCTCCTACATATGTGTGTGCATACGTTATTTCATTCCATAGACAAATACACACTGGAAAGATACCTCTGCAAAGGAATCACACGACCCGGTCCAGCCCTCTCTGTCCATGACCACAAGCACTAAGAACGCTGAATGCCGAGCCCCACGCCATAACCCACCCTTCCACTACCACCCCTTTTCCCCTAATTTTTTTACAATACCGTGAAACAGGAATAATCCCGGAGCTAAGCGCATCGTGGATGGGAACACAAAGGTTAGCCCTTAAGAGAAGGTGGTCCTTTGCTACGGAGCAGTGCTGCAGCCCATGCCATGCAGCGATGCCTCACACTCAGCACTCTGCCCAGCGTCCTGCCTGCTCCCAAAGCAGCACCTTGCCACCGCCACCGACTGCGGCATGAAATGTTCATGCAAAAAACACTGCGTTACCCCAAACGGCTTCACAGCATACGTGTGCATGTTTAACACACGCACGTTTTATTGTCTAATTAAAGTATACGCCATAAAAAAGTACCGGCTCTGTAAGTTACGCAGGATGGTTGTGAAATCTTACCTTATAAAAGCATAAAGTACTTATTGTGTGATCTGCACTGCTAATTAAAGAAGTACTTCTGGGGAAAGGTTTTGGGTTTCTTCATTCTTCAGCGGATGCGCGCTTGGTCTGCTCTGCTCACTGCCCTGCTCACACACACTGGGGTAAAGCCTTCTCCTCCCGCTTGCAATGGCTGTCCCCATTGTTTCAGGATACTTAGAACAGAAGTACTTAGAACAGGAACAAAACAGGGGCTTGCTGGTGGAGTTTGCACTGAGCTGTCTGAACGCAAACACGAAAGCATCAAAAACAACTCTGAACTGCACTGCTGACATCTGATTAACGCTCACACCGAAACATTTATCGAAGCAAAACCAGCGATCGCCTCACACCCCTGGCTACAAATTTCACTAAAAAAACGAGAGAGCAATGGAACCTTTCTGATGCAGCCCCGACACCAGGTGACACCTCGCCCTGCACCAAACACAGCACACAGCTACTGCTAAATGTGCCACCGGGCAATGCTCCGGGAACAGCACTGCAACTTCCACCGCTCAGGGCTGCAGCCACGCAGCGTGCAACGCCTCATCACCACCCAACCCCTCTGTCACACACCAGAACCGCTCACACGCCGAGAAAAACACGCCCGGGTTTCCTTACAAATCAGAGATGCAGAAATCAGGGTTGAATTCCACAGAACTTTTAGGCTGTTTTGAACACTGCGTTACTGGAAACGCCGCCTTCTCCGCAGCTCCAGGCGGCAGAAATCAAACCGAACCAAATCCTCCATCGCTCTCCAAGTGTACGGGAGCCTCAAAAAAAAAAATTAAAATAATTTAATAATAATAAAACCAGCCCTTCTCGTGCACCGACCTAACTTCACAACCAAAGCCGTGAGCAGCAGACAGCCTTGCGGGGAAGGGCAGCGTTATTTCCCTCCACGTTACCCTATGGATTCCCAACAAAGAGCAGCACTGCTAACGGCCCGGCTGTGCCCCGCTGCAGCACCCGGCGCTCCCAGCCAGGCGGCTCTGACAACAGCCCAGCAGCAGCTCCGTTTGATCTTTCCTGCCTGCCTTAATCTGGGTTGTCAAGGTTCACTTGTTGGAGGCTGTTTACTTTACTTTTTCAAAAAAAAAAAAAGTGATTTTCTTTTTCTTTCTGTCTCACACACAATGACTAATCCAGAGACTAAGGGGGAAGAATGCTGCCAATGCGAGACGTTAAAGCTACCATACCTTTTTGCAATGAGATTTTAGCCGGCACCTTTTGAACGGTGACTAGTGAGGAGCTTCCTCCCCCAGCGCCCCGCTCCATTCACTCCGGTGGGGAGACAGTGCAGGGAAGGGATTCGGAGCGGAGGAATGAAGCCGGTAGCCCTGATTTCCCCCTTTTCCCCCAGATTTGGTCGCAAAGACGCACAGCACCTCCTTCCCTGCTTCGGTGCTTTCGGGATCTCTCCAACTTACACGAGCACGGGCTGCTCAGCGCTGACACCAACTGCAGAAATAAGAACCGAGCGCAGCGCCCGCTTCCCTCCGCCTAAATTAAAGCAAATCACAGAGAGCAGCACGAGCGGCAAGTTTCTTCGATGACAGACTCGAAAGTTTGGCTCGGCGAGAGCCCGGCCCCAACGGCACGGCACGGCAGGTAAAGCACCCGCTTGGAAAGCGGCACGGGAAGGACGCAGCTCAGAGAGCGGCGGTGACCCGCAGCCCTCGGTACGGCCGGAGCCGCGCAGACTGAAAATGAAACCTCCAACTTCGGAGCGCGCAACTCGTGCCGCTGCTCCGGGAGAGAAGCAGCGGTGCGGGGCGGTGCGGGGCCCGGGGGGGGGGGGGGAGGGAGAGGAGGAGGAGGAGAGGGGATTTAAAAAAAAAAAAAAAAAAAAAAAAAAAAAAAGCAGTAATCTCACTCGATTTGATTCAGCCAAAGCGATTAAAATCATGGCATGCGAAGCGGCAGAAGAAAGGCTCGCTACAGTCGATGCGCTCCACCGCCCTCTCCGCGCGGGGCCCGCCGATAAGTCATCAATAGTTCCGCGGGGGGTGCGCCCCGCACAGCGCTGAACCCTCCCGCTGCCCGACCGCGGCTTGGGGCGGCTTTTTTTTTTTTTTTTTTTTGGGGGGGGGGGGGGGGGGGGGGGGGGG